GGAGAAATCTAGGCAGATCACCAGGCTCTGGCTCCAGTGACTGGGGGAATGGCAGTATGTTAATAATCTGGCTCTGACACTTATTTATTGTAGAACTGTTTCCGGGTAGCTCTGTTGGTTTCCTCATCTAGAAAAAGGTGCTCGGTACCTAACTCCTGGCATTCTTGGGAGGACTTGCCTGCAAAGACACTTGTGTCTGGCACATTAGTGAATTTTGTATGAGTGCTTGTTGCATAAATAGGTAACTCACTGAGGCGCATGTGTGGGGAAAGATGAGATTGTTTTTGGACATGTGCCAAGTGCTAGGAGCTCCGGGACATTGCCATTTGGCAGTTGAAAAGAGACTTGGAAATTTGGAGCAAGGTCTGGACAGAGACAGAGGTTAGGGGTGTGAACTACCTCCGGAAGAACGGGTAGAATTGCTTAGAGATGTTGTCCAAATAAGGATAAGGAGGACAAAGAAAGTAACATGAGAGACAACATCTCATGGAAGGCTAAAGTAGAGACTTTTGAGGAGCCAACTAAGAGGGTCTGTCTGAAGAGAGCATCGGATGCTTCAGAGGTCAAGGGTGATCGCGTGGTAAGAGTGAAGCTCCGGTTTCAAGAAATGAGTTGTAGGGAAGTAAGAAGGAAAGAAGAGCCAAAAGATGGGAGGGTACACACGATACTACCGGAACTATACAGGTGGAAGTCATGGTAACATGCTCACCAGGTGGCGCCAAAGACCCTCTGAGGCTCTCAAGTGCCTGGACTCCAGCAATCCCATCCCACCCCCACCCCCCCACCCCGCCCCTCCCCGGGGAAGGGCTGCCGGTTTTCTTCACCCCATCAGCCAGGTGGCATTCCTTTAGTCAACCAACTACCAAACTTCTACTACTGGAAAGCTCTGGGACTCCAAAGGATACAGAGGTATTTGCAATTCTGCTCTTCCACAGTGTGTGGAGAATAATCCCATCCATTTTTATCTCTTACAAGGTTTTTGAATGTTATCTACTCTTCACCTTCGTTGCTGCCTCTCCGCTCCAAACCACTATCCTCACCTGAAGAGACTGCTTTTTAAATCACTCTTCATCCCTTCTCCATGCCCCACCAACCCAACATGATTCCCACTGCAATTACCACTGCAATTTTTTCAAAGGATGTGTCTCCTAGCACCCCACCAGCCCACAATATTGGAATTCTAGGGTCGTAGTTCCTGGAGCCAGATTGCTGGGTTCTAATCCCACCCACTCACTAGTTGTGCTGCAACTTTGGGCAAGTTCCTTAACCTATCTGTGCCTCATTTCTTTATCTGTTAAAGGGAGATTAGACCTACTTCACAGGACTATAATGAAGACAAAATAAGTTGTTCTCGGTATACTGCTTGGCATAGTGCTCAATAAATGTGAGTTCTAATTGAAGTCTTCAGGATAAAAATTCAAATCTTTATTGTGGCTAAATGTTCTCCGTGGTCTAGTTCTGCCTTTCTGGCCTTACCTGGAAGTATTCACCCTTTCATTCTTACTGCTTCAGCACCACCTACATTCTGGAAGCTTACCTCCACTATTTTTCCTGCGGGCAATGTTCACTCCCCCTTCCCCTGGATCCAGCCCAACATACTTACTCACCCTTCTGAGATCTGTCAGAACAGATCTGAGATGTGATCTCTCTGATAAGAACCCTCTAAGCTCATAAAATATTTGCATGTTGTGGGGCTAGAAATACAATTTTCATTAGAATTTGCAATTAGCTGGTGTCCCCCCGCCCCAAACCACACACATAAACTATGGGGGCAGCAAGCTGTCTCATCCGGTGCTGGAGACCAGCTAGTGAGATTTTGCAGAGCTCGAACTACTTGTGATCCAGGGAAGGGGAAAGCCCCAAAGATGTAAGATCCTGGGAGATGTAAGATCCTGGGAGACGTCAGATCAGTTCCCTGCCATCATTTGCACATGGCCTTCCCAGCTCTACCACAGTCCCTCTCACTGTTCAGGAAAAACACTCTCAAGGTTACTTTGGGCAAAATCCAAAGATTAGCTCCAATCAAAACAGTCTTGAGGGAATCCAAGAGCAAGGTTGGCAAGGGCTGGGACTAGGAGCCACACATTGGCATACAATAAAGATTAAGTGTCTGGGAAGACTAAATCATGCCTTTATCTTGGAAACCATCAGCACAGTGTACCATAAGAATGAGGAATTCCAGAGCAGGCTGCATGAGGGCAGGGCCTGCTCTCTGACTTCACCCCCACACCTCTGGCTTAGCGGAGCTCAGCAGGGTCTAGGTCTACTGACCGAATTTGTTAAAAATAAAAGGCGACCAAGGGAACTCCATAAAACGTGAATAAAAAAGCTCCCAAAGGAGACATCAGAGCAACAAATGGCGTTTAGAAAGAGGCAGTGGAACCCGTGGTTTCAAGAGCTGGGAAGAGCATGGGAGGGATACCCACAGGACTCCACAGTTGTGTCCTGCTAGTCCAGCTGGAGACTAGTTACTGTGAAAGACAGAAATTCCAACCACGGCAGAAGTAGCATTCTGACGCCTCCAACTACTTACCATGCGAAAGGGTATGTGGGGATGGAGTGAAGCTGGGGCTTGGACTAGCAAATTCAACTAAGGGAGAAGACTGGCGCCAAACTAAAGCAAGGATCAGGGACAACAGCAAGGACTCTACCAAGAACTTAAGTCTCAGGAAATCCATGTACACTTAAAACTGGCCTGATGTGGCAGGATGGGAGATGTAATGCAGGCCTGGAGCCACTCCTTCCATCTCATGCTGTTCTGCAGTCAAGGCGATGAGCTGCTCTGCCTTTTCTTACAGCGTTTGTTCTCAGTTTAGTTATACTAGATTCTGTGACTAGCCTCCTCCCAAACTAATGCAACTTTTTTTGAAATGAGATGTAATCCTGGACATACAAACATGCATCTGATTAAAATTGTAACATTGTTTTTAGACTTAACTCTTGTTCTACCCCCACAAATTCTATTACAAGTATGTCCAAGTTTTCCAGTTTTTTAAATGACTTTTGAGAGAACAAGCACAGCAGAGTGGCTGAGGCAAAGCTGACTCACCCCTTAACAGGAGCTTGACGAGGGGCTGGATTCCAGTACCCCAGGATTATGACCCGAGCTGAAGGCAGAAGCTTAACAGACTAAGCCAGCCAGGTGCCGTCCATTAGCTTTTCGATCACCCTTTTTGCTCAAAAAGATCAAGAGCTCAAAGCTCAAGATTCGCTGAGTTCTAGGATTAAGTTGGGCCAAAAGCCCAGTCAGGTCTCTCCTCCCTTTTCAAGCTAAGGGCTTTCCAAAAAACCTACCAAGTGGTTCTCAGCCCAGGTTGTGCTTTGCCATACCTCCTGAACTTGTTAACGTTATTGCCTAGGCCCCAATTTAATGAGAATTCAGGAAGACAGAATACTTAGTGCAGTATTTTTAAAAAGCTTTACTGGAGTCCTAGTATGTGGTTAAGGGCCGAGTATCCCTGCTACAGTCCACATTCTCGCTTCTAAAATCTTCCATTTCCAAACCAGATTCCACCCTGTACTTTCCTGTTTCCGACATCATTATTTAGGGAGGGAAAGACCATTTTCTCTACATTAACAATTCCCAGCTCTTACTTCAAAGATCGAGTTTTCTACAGTGGTCTGATATACTAAGCCAAAATGTCTTTTACTTTTGTGGCTAGTCCCCAATTCCAGAACCCACACGCCCCAGTTCCCTGAACTATACAGTCCATCTCCCCTCAGCAAGACAAGGGCTTAAATTTGTGGATGTTCATTTTTGTAATCTGAATTTGGCAAAAATTACTGGATTATGTTAATAAACTGTGCAGGGCTCTGTAAATCTAGAATTTGAGGCCAAAGCTTACAAAAAAGGAAAACACACCTGTCTTCTCTAAGTCAGATGCAGAACACAAAAAAATACCTGTGGTCAGCCACCTTTCATCCTTTTCACATTTGGTTTAAATCTATCTTAAGTCTTGAGTCCTAAGCTTGATTAAACTATCAATGAGCCAGAGGGTTTAACAACTTCTCTAAACCAGAGCAGGGGTGCCTGGCTGGCTCAGGTGTCTCTTGGTTTCATCTCAGGTTGTGACCTAGGGTTGTAAGGCTCCGTGCTTGGCCTCTTCCTCTGTCCCTCCACTTGTGCTCTCTAAATAAATCTAAAATTAAAAAAAAAAAAAACAATACCAGAGCAAACCATGAACCTAAAGGTATTTTGAAGGATTCATTTTACAAAGCACATGAACTTACTTTTTAATCACCATAGCAACAGCCTACTGGTCTAAAAACTAAGACAATCCGACTACAAGATAGCTCTCCTTTTCTCACGTCAGGATTATTTTCCTCAAAATTTTGTATTATGTTTCTTTTGAAATACTACAAAGCAAACGTTATTAAGGTAACTCAAAATTTGAATAATATTTTCTTTATTTACAAGTTAGAATCAACAGACAAAGAAAGACAATCCAGGGGACCAAATGGGGTGATGACTGAAATCCCCAGGGGCCCCAAATGGAGAAGGAAAAGGGAAAACAGAGTAGAAAAAAAAAAAAAAGTCAACGTAAAAAAAGAGCTCCCCCTTCTTCCCTCCCCATGGAGGCTGAGGGTACCATGGCCCCATACACCTCAGCCTTACCTAGCTTAAAATAAATTAGAATAACCAACCTCAAAACAGGGCCTTTACAAGTGAACAGGGCAGCTATGGCCTCAGGTAAACCCATTATCAGGGCCTTTGCTCACTCCCACCCTGTACCCCTGCCCCACGTCAGTCATTTTGAATGGGGGCTCTATGCCCAAGAGGTCATTCTCAGTGGGGCTGGGAACTCAATCTTATTTTGTCCATTTAAGTCCCTCCTTCAGCAAATGTCCCTGCACCCCTCCCCCCTGCAGAGCCAGCTCTCCTACAGTGGGGGGGAGAGGGGATGAGATGAGAAGTGTCACAGCAAGGGGGGGAAGGGGCGGGGCAGGGTGGTCTAGGGGTCCGGTCCTGCGGAGCCTCCTGCCCCATCCGGCCTGGCCCCTTAGCCTGAGTCTGAATCACTGGTGTCTGAAGAAGAGGATGATGAAGAGGAGGAGCTGGAATCTGAGCTGGAGCTGGAAGCGCTGAGGCGTGACACTGCTACTTGCTGTGCCGAGGAGGACTCTGTTTTCTCACTTGCTGCAAGATAAGGTTAAAGGTTAAAGTTGCATAAATCTCATCTCCATTTGTCAAGGAAAGTCGAGAGGGAGATGCAATGAATTTGTTGTAGGTTACAGGGTACTCACCTTTCTTGGGGGGCTTTTTGGTGGAATTGAGCTGCCCACTAACATCTTGTAACCGCTTTTCTAATTCCCGCTTCTTTTCCAAAGCCAGCTCCTCCTTTGTCTTTCCCACAGGTTTCTTAATGGCTAGAAAAACAAGCATTCCAGGTCTAAGACTGCCATAAGCACGTAGCTTCAGTGCACCTTACTGCTGCCAAGTTCCTTTCTTGATCAGGGAACAAGCACGTCCCCCCTGCCCTGGGGCTGACAATCAAGAGTGCCTCAAACATACCCCACTGTCCTCAGAACTACTTGAGGACTGCGGATTAATGGTGGGAAAGGTCTTTTCATACTCACTATAGGGTTTCCGAGGTTTCTTTCGTAGACAGGAGAGAACATAGCGCTCAAGCTCTCTAAGCGTGGATGGTTTGAGGGTTTCAAAATCAATCTCTATCTCTTCTGGGTTTGAGTCACGCAAAGAAGGCTCTCTAGCCTGGATTATGTGCACAACTCGACCAAGTTTCTCCCCAGGTAATTTGTTGATGTCCAAACTCAACTGCCGCTTTTCATCGTAACTCATGGGTCTGCTTTCTTCCTCCTCCTCTGAATCATAGCCTGTAGGCAGGGCAGGTGGGGCTGTCTTCGAGGCCTTTTTGGGCAGTCTATAGGCAAAAAAATTTTGTCACTTAGGGAAGCATCACTAACCTCTCCCAACACATTTCCATTGTTTAATCCACTAATCTAAATTTCCCGCCAGAGTAATGCTTCAGTCTTCCCATAAGGCAAATGGGGAATGAGATACTACCAACTCTCCTCAGTAATACAAACCTTCTCACATGCTAAACACTTAACCACTTATTTGGGGCATTGAAAACTAGACACTGGTATATTGGCATGAGTCACCTTTTTGCTCCCTAAAACACTCTTAACCCACCCCAGCACGGAAAACAAGACAAAGTGTGTAATTTTTGAGTGCAAAGAGAAAGACTAGATGAACTAGAGGACAAATCTGGCTTGCCACTGCTTTCTGCATAAGTGAAGTTTTACTGGAGAAGTCCTACCCACACTTCTGTAAGTAAGCTCTATATAGCTGCTTTCACACCACCCCGCCAAAGGTGAGTGACTTTGAGTGGTTCCACAGCTCTCAAAATCAGTGTTACCTAGCCAATTAAGAACTTATTTGCTGACCTCTGGTTTAGAGAACACTCTGCACGAAACGGGAGAAACCACTCTCCTCCTGGACAGGGTAGTGACAGTCCTTTGTCCCTGCTCCCTAACCTCTGAGAACTTACTTGCTGCCGCTTCCTCCAGATGGTCCAAAGCCGGAAGGGCCCAGTGTAGCAGCACTGCCACCCCCACCACCACTTGCTTTCTTGGACTTCTTGGGTTGAGACGGGCGGGGTGCCCGAGGTCCCTTGTCCTCTTCATCAAGCCCAGCTCGGCCTCGATGCTTCTCTGCCTTCCGTTTCTTCTTTTTCTCTTTTTTTTCTCTCTTCCGCTTTGGCTTGGATATTGGGCCTTGAGACAGGGCAGCCAGTTGTTCATGTACTGCCCGGAGCTGGAGACAAAATAATCAAATGTATCAAGAGAAAAGTAAAAGCAGAATAAAAGGGAGTAAGAAGAAAAAAAAACTAGGGCAAAGACAGGGAATGACTTTATAAACTAAATAATAATACCTGCTCCTGTAGTTCAGCCAATCTATGAGCCCTTTCTTCCTCAGAATCCGAGCTTTCACTCTCTTCTTCCTCCTCATCCTCCTCGTCGTCGTCCTCTTCTTCCTCAGAAGAGCTCTCACTGCTGCTTTCCTCGCTGGAGGACTCTGAAGAGGATTTGGCCAACCCAGGTGGCAAGGCAGTAGACACAGGTAAAGGCCCTGGTTCCAGTGGTTCATCTGGCATCTTGGCGTAACGGAACTCAAATACATCCTAGGAAGAAAGATACCATCAGAGCCTTGCTAGTCAGCAGTGCCCCAATTACACCCAGCCACCTGGTGGTACAACACTACAACCTTGCACTGGGGGAGACCCTCACAATAAAGTAGTATAGCAAAGGACAAGACCTCTCTCCCCAGACCCATTTGTTCTTCAAATTCCAACTGTGACACTCACCTGTAGCTTTCGTGCCATGGCCACGACATCGTGGTCTGGGGGATTGTACTTATAGCAGTTGGAGAACATAAGCCGCACATCAGCAGCAAACTCCTGTGCATCCCGGTAATCACGATTCTCCATCTTCCGCTGCAGAAGGAGGCAGCATCAGAAGCTGCACAGGCAGGGAGACTCACCTTTCCCTGCCAACCCCAGACACTGCCAAGAGTAGCCCTCTCTTGAGAGCACAGTAGGGATGACCTTAAAGATCTATGCCCTGGGGTTCAAGTTTGAAGTCAAATGAATTTGGGTGGGTTGAAGATATATCTATGTCTAGAAAAAAAAACCATTTCTAAGTGATAGGGGTGGGTGGCCTCTATCCTTCCAACCCCTTACTCCCCTAACCCAATGCTCCCAGTAAGTAGAACTTAAACATACATGAGTAGTATTACTCTGAAGACAAAACTCACCATACAAAGTCCAAGAAATACCAACTCAATTATCAAGCACTTAACCTTCTGTCCCATTACCATTTTATAAAAAATACCAAGAATCAAGATTGCCATGTGCCCATTAGAAGTGACTGATTGTTTTATTGAGCCCAAAGTTCCAATCACTGCCTGAGCATCCCATCTGCCCCATGCAGTGGGTACCTTGACAGTGCTGAGGTCCATGGGGTGCTTAATGATGTCATGGTAGTCATGCAGACCAAGAGCAGAAGCGTCCACTGGTTTATAGAAAGGCCAGGCATAGGCAGCATGCTTCTTAGAGAGCAATTCTTTCAAAATGCCATTGCAATGTTTTAATTGTTCTGACAGCTTTCCTTTCTTGGAGCTCTGGTGTTGCTGCTGAGAGTCAGGTAAGTCCTTGCGTGGGGGCTTGATGGGGCGACCACTCTCTCTACGCATAGGGGGAAGACGTGCTGCCTTGGGCTCAAGACTCCCAGGGGGGCTAGCTGGGGAACCAGGAGCCAGGATGGCTGTAGGAGTAGGTGTGGTAGTATCTGCTTTCCGCTTTACGCCTTTCTTCTGCAGAGAAAAATAAGATGCAAGTCTTTTAGGGTCCACCTCATTCATCCAAGACCTTGCCCTTCCCACTGTCCAAAAGAAATCCACAGATCTGTACCTTGGCAAGGGGCTGGGCTGGGGGAGCTGCAGAGACAGCAAGGAGCGGGGGTCCAGCAGAGTGTAAGGACTTGAGAAGGGGAGAAGAGATGACTGACGGGTGGGGAATGTTGAGGACAGTGGTAGGTATCTCAGGTGGTGGAGTATACAGGGCTGTGTGAGACACAGAAGAAACAGCAGGCACCTGATGGGCACTGGTGAGGCTACCCTGGAGTGCTGGAAGAAAGGGGGGGAAAAAAAGATTAGTTCTATTATCTTCCCCATCTTGTCTCCATTAGGGCAACTGCTGCTCTTCCTACCTGCCAATTTGGCCCCCTTCTTGTGGCTGTTCTTAGGGATGGTCACCACAAGCTCTTGTTCCTCTTGTGGCATAGATGCCACTTTCTGTAGGAAGATCTTTTCCAACGTTTGTGCCATTAGGACAATATCATCAGTGGGCTACAGGAAACACAAACAAGAAGATTCAAATGCCAGCTAAAGGCAGACAAACCATTTTTCTCAGAGAAATTCCTAGCTCCAACTATCACCACACCCCCTCAGACAACTTTGTCAAGTACTGCCAACTGCCTACACTGGGCCACTTATTTCCATGTTCTCCCCTAACCATCCCTCAAAATGCAGTGAAGAAAAAGTTCAGAATAAAGGAATGAGACTGTCAAGGAGAATACGTTCTGCTCTACTCAGCTCTCTGGAGGTTTCTGTTGAGAAATAGGGCCACCATCCCCAAATACTAAATGTTCTACTTAAATAACCTTTAACTCCAGATCTCTGAAGCTACATCACTGTGAGCTGTATCCTTTGGAACTCAGATTTTCTGAATCCTACCCACTTTGAGAACACCTTCAAACATCCCACCAACACATAGCATCTAAGCAGTAACAGAGACATGGTCTCTCTCCCTCTATTAATGAGCACACACAGAAAAACTCACCTTGTTGTAGATGTAACAATTGGTGAACATGGTGTTAAAATCCTGCATACACTCTGAGGCAGCCCAATAATAGTTGTTTTCAAGCCTCCTTTTAATAGTACCCATGTCCATAGGCTGTTTTATAATTTTGTGATAATCCTTAAAAAAAAAAAAAAAAAAAAGCTAGATCAGAGCCACTGAAAAATAAATGCCAGTTTTTCTAAGCTACTGACCCCAGCAACACACACACATACACACCCCCCCGTATCACAGTATGTAGTCCCCTACACTGCGGCCCCAATTAAACTAAGGACAAAAAAAAAAAAAAAAAAAGTAATGGGCTTAACACCCGTTGGGAGGCCCCTAGTACACCTTTCTCTAACCACCCACCTCCCACCCACTCTGCGAGGTTCCCCCTCCTGTGACATTACCTCTGGGGCTGGCTATCCATGGGCTGGCATGAGGGAGAGGAAGAAGCTAAGAATTTTGGCCACCGTGGTCCTCTCCCAACCTGGGGTGGGAATCTGTAAAATGGAGCCAGGGCACAAAAGTTAAGGAAGGACACATGGAGGGCACAATGAGATGCCAAGACAGCAAGCGATTGGATCAATAATCACAAAGGACCGAGAATCCAGAAATCTGGTGGCTATCTGCCCTACAGGGGAGAGATGGGAAGTCCCTAGGGGCCGCAGCACCTATACTAAGCAGCCCACCTCCACTCACACACATTCTTTTTCATTGCCAATACCTCCTCCACTCCAATATCCCCACTCACCGGCAGACCCAGTTTGACGGCATCCACAGGCTGCCTGAAGGGCCATGCAAACTGGTGTTTCCACAGAGCCTTCATCACCACCTTGTGCAGGTATTGCAACTGGTTGGTAACCCGTCCTGGCTTTTTGGGATTGGACACCTCCGGGGGTGGTGGGTTGGCAGGGGTCAGTTGTAAAGCCGGCACTGAAGCCATTGTGGGGCTCTCAAATCCCTCATACAACAGAGAGGGCTTTCGAATCCTCTTCCCTGGAGCTGCTGCCTCTGGGCCCAGCCCCAGTAACCCTGCATTCCCCTCCCCAGGGAGCCTGTGAAATGGGAAACATAATTAGATGTGGTAATTTCACGACAATCAGTAGTGCCACTTATACTACATATCCAATAAATCCAAACTTCCATTTTAATGAGAGATAACCAAGCTTATAGAAGTCAATCTCAACCACAACCAGTATCCAAACAATATGTGGACCTTTTGTTCTTGGCCCTCCACCCCCCACTTTCTATTTCCCTATTTTTAGTTACAACTATCCAGATCTCCTATTCTGGACTCTGATGGATAAGTGTATCACCTGTAGTTCCTTTAAAGAAAAAAAAAAAAATCCTAAAATGGTTTCTCATAAGGCCTAACTTAACATCTGAGAACCACAGCTTTAGAGTTTGAGACTTAAAATGGGTGGAGCAGAGAAGCTCAAACCCCAAGCTTCTTCCTCACTAGGGGCTAGGTGGTTGCCATGGTGGTTGAGCCTGAGAGAAGCCAACGAAAAGAGGAAGGGAACAAAACAGGGAGCAAATTTCATAAAATGCTGATGAAGACACCTAAAAATCCATCCAGGCATAAGAGAACACAACGGCACCCTCTCCACAAGCTCTGCTGCTTAATTTAAAGCAGAGAATGAATCAGAAATCTAACGGAAAACCTTACCAACTTAAAAAAATTTTCAGACAAGGGAGCATTTGTCTGACTTCACGGCCTGGAATAACCCAGCTGCCAGACCCCAGAAATCATTCGAATTCGTCTTTCTCCCAGGGACTTAAAAATAAAGCCAGCCCAGTCCCCAGTCAAGGTCAGCAATTCCAATAAACAGTGGCAGACCACCCTTAACCCCGCCAAAAAAATAAGATTAAAGACTCCCACTCCATCACCAAACTCTTGAAATCAATGGTCAAGACTGGTTCAAACTTATATTCTCTCCGGTACTCCGCAGAACCAGGTGCTTCCCAGGTCCAAAGACTAAAGACACTACACGAAGATTTCATTGTTTACATCCGTACAGCTGGACAAAAAATCCTTAGCTCCACCCTCCTGCCCAGAGTCAAACTCTTAAAAAGAGAGCAAAAACATGCCTCCAAACAAAAAGCACGCAAACCCCCAACACAAAACCGATTCGGTCACTGAAAGACAAGCAAGAATTTAACGACCTAGTCTGAACACACGAACCCACTGGCTAAAAGTAATCCCTCTACCCCACTGTGGGAATCTCAGTAGCCAGTCTGAGGCTCTATCACCATGGCAACCCTATAAGGTGCTAGATGGGGCCACGAAAGCCCCTAAAAGCCCTATGACAAACCGTTGCTAGACACCAGACCCACCGCCCGCATGACCGGCTACCCACTCAATGTTGTCTTTCCCCATTACATTCCGCCGCCAACCCGCTCTGTCCGGCTAGATTAAGACTAGACCACGGCGGGAAAAATAACGCATAAATTGACAACCTGTTCTCCCTCCATACGCAGTATCTGGCCCTCTACCACCGTTCCAAAACCGTCACCCAACCCCCTCCGCGAGCCCCCGAGAGCCACCAGCCGCGCCGTGGAAGAAGAACGCGCCCGAGTCGGTTCTGTCCGCTCTCCGAACCCGACGCCCCCTATCCCCGTGCCACAGCCCCCCAACATCTCCTTCCCACACGCGGATCAGGGGGACATACTTGCTGTGGGGAGTCACGTTTTGCAGCATCTTGACCACGGGGAACCGGCGCTGCCCTCAGCCGCGTGAAGTCCGGGTGGCCTCGGTTCCCCTTACCTCCCGGTCCAGCATAACCCGGGAAGTAGGGGAGGGGTGGAGGGCCGTTGCCCTTGGCCCTCCAGACGACAACCTCCCCCCCGCCCCCGCGCCCGGCCGGCACGAAAGCAGTCTTCTCCGCGAGCTCCCAGCAGCTTGGCGCGCTCCGCAGGCGGCGGACAGCGAGAAAATGGCGGCGGCCTCAGCAGAGGCGGGCGAACGAGGGGGGGACGGACTCCTCAAACACTAGGACGGCCCCCAATCCCGGACACCGTCGTCAATACTGCCCGCTGTTGATCTGCAAGGATCCCCTCTTCCTGCTGGGACTGCCCGCAGCGGACGAGGTCCCGTTTCGATCTCGGATGGAGGCGGATGAACACGAAAAGTGGTTTAGGGAGCCGCCGCCTCCATCTTTGAAATCCTCTTGAGGGCGGAGTAGAGGGGGTGGACAGACTCCGAGGATTGGGCGGGGCCCGAAAAAGGGGAGCGTCGGGGGCTTCTATGGGGTCTGTACTGTCCGCCGGGACCGGTCATAGGCCGAGACGAAGGCCATTTCCAAACGGATGGACGTGGATTGCAATGGCGGTCCCCGACGACTCGAAAGCTCTCTATCAGTAGGCAGAATCCTCCAGCTCGTTCTAGAGGCTGCTCCACTCCAGCGCGAAATGGCGCCGCCGAGGCCCGCGCCAGCCCTTTATATATAGGCAGGGAGGAGGAGCCTCGCCGCTCATGCGCGCCACCGTGCTCGAGATTTCCCCCACCCCCTCCGCGCGCGCACGCTCGCTCACGCGCGTGAAGAAGCAAAGTCGAAAGGGGAGGAACACCTCTCCGCGGGAGCGTTTTCTATTGGTTGGCTGGACCGGTGACGTCATAAGCTTCATTTCCAAAGTGTCAGTCACTAGGCAGAAGAGTGCCGCATAGACCCATAGGGAACCGGCAACCCGCCACATCTCTGAGCCAATTGGCTGTGCTGTGGTTCGGCGACTCCAGGGAAAGAGAGAGGCTGGCATGGGTGCAGCACCCTCTCCCCGCCTCCCCTTCCAACAAAGTCTTCCCAGGCGTCCAAGCCCGGTGCGACCGGGGACTGCCAAGCTGGGGCAGGTCGTGCCATTCGTAGCTCCTCCATTGGCCACACCGGCAGGACTGGAGGGGGCCGCGTGGGCGTAGCCAGCCTGGGCCCGCCAGGGTGTGGCCGCAGGACGCCTGGAGGGTTGCTGTTCTCGGCAGAGAGGCCGCCGCAGTGAAGAATCTGAAATGAGGAAGAAGACGCCATTTTAGAAGCCGCGGCCTGCTACTCTGGCAGAGAACTAACCGCTCCCGAACCTAACCATGGAGGGATCTAACGTTCCCATAGCCCACAATAAAAAATACAGGCTTGCCGCAGTCTTAAAATCTTCCCCGTCTTTCCCCAGGTCAAATAATCGGAAGACAAAGGCAAAACTCAGAAAGCTCCCAAAGGCTTACCAACAAGACAACCAAATCTAAAATAGGTTCCCAAACTTTCACCCAAGCACCTCTGCAATCCCTCCCTGCTCACACTTTCAGTTACCCATTAAGTATATGCCTGGTCAAAATTACGGCAGTCCTACTAAAGTGGAAGCAAAATCTCCAAACATATCTATATAAAATGAAACCCACCTCCTCCCCAAACTTCATTCCGGTGTCAGATCAGAGCGGAAAAAAACCAGTCCTGCGAGGGACGAATCAGGGTGAAACCCTCCCCTCCTGGCGAGCCCAGACCTTTCCCCAAGCTCCCAGCCCTCCCCCACCCGAGAGCAGGCCCGAACCCCCCTCTTAGGGTCCCTCCGCCTCGGGGGCAGCAGGGTCTCCCCCATCCCCCCACCAGGGTCCGGAGTCCTCCCCACGGAGCGGCTGGTCCATCGGTCAGCGCCAGGGAGGAGGGCGAGCGGAGGAGGCGGCGGCTGCAGCTCAGACTAGCCCTCCCCCTCCTTTCTCCCCTCCTCCCCTCCCCCCGGGCCGTCCGCCTCCGAGGAGGGGCAGGAGCCATTTTGGGAGCTCAGTCTCGCCCCCCTCCCCCAACCTACTCACTTAGTCCTCCCCACAATCTTGTTACCTGAGTAGGATTAGACTATGTATGAGTACAGACCCAAAATACAAAGCCAGGAATCTCTCAAGCCATCTCTGGGACCACGACCCCGCCACCCCCGCCACCCCCTCCTCTCCTGATGGGAGAGTGAAAGAATTATCCCCAACCTGCGCTTTAGCGGGCAGTCTCCTTCTCCCTCCATCTCCCCTTCTCTGGATACCAAGATTAAAAAGACTGCATTATCTGAGAAAGGAAAATAATGTAACCAACGAACATAAGAGCCCCCCCCACCCCCGAAAGGCTCCTGAGGGCCTAGATCCTCGCGCTCCAACCACATCACCCCCCTCCTTTTGCAGTAGCTCTTCAGCCCTAACCTCAGTTACTGCGTCTAAAATGGCCGCCAATCTCACGTCTTCTCGACCACCAGAGTCGGGCCAACCCTGCGGGGGGGAAGTGCACACCGGGAAGGAAGCCTCTTCCCCTATTACTACCGCCCTCCCCCACGCAGGGATCAGGCTTCGGCCCCAAAAGTACATGCGGGCTGGCGCAGGCGGTTGCAGCAGGGAGGGCAGTGACACAGCAACTTTGCTGAGGCCTTCTCCCCTCCCCCCATCCCCACCCCCTAGTGGCCCAGCCTCCTAAATCTACAGTTCTCCGCCTGAGGCCTGCAAGTTAGCAGAGGCCCATTAGGGGGGCCGGCCAAGAAGAAAAATTTAGTAGGAGGTCGCGAAATGCTGGGTCTTCGAAAGCGAAAGGGCAGCCAGACCTTACTCTGGCTTACTTTCCTGCATTCCGGAAAATCACTGCTCCCTACTCCCTCTCAAACCTCCCTTCCCCCACATGAGTCACAGGGGAGGCTAACAGCTAGTCAGGAATTTGGAAAAGTAACTCTTCCCTCCTTTCCGTTCCCTCCCCCGCAGTACACAAGGAGAGAACTGTTCAGGAATGGGGGAGGGGATGAAGGAGGCAAAAGACGCCACCCTGGAGAAACCCGAAACCTTGTGAGCTGTGAAATCATTCCAGGTCCTAAGCCTCAACTCCGTCCAGTCTCAGACCAAGCTTTCTACAGCCCTCCCAGCACCCACCTTGGGCTTGGTTTCTGCTCCCAAACGAACCCCAAGATTTCAGCCTGTAAGCCCTCCCCAGCCTGGGTAACACATGCTGAGCTAAGACCCCACCGAGGAAACGAAGTTTTGTACAGAAGGCTCCACAGGCCGTGTCCACGTGAATGCACACAAATTCGATAAGCGATTCGAAGCGTAACCTCCAGCATGCCATGTGATGACTGCGAGCTTCCTACCGCTGACACAAAAGCACAGAAATGCTCCTTCCCGAGTCTCTAGGGAGAAAGGGAGTGGGCGCCCGGGAACAATCTCAGTTCACAACCTGAGTTGCCCACTCAAATCCAAGAGTTGGAAATACACCACTCCCACTCCCCAGCCCACTAGGTCACCCCTCCCTCCGGCCGCCAAAAGGAAACCTCACCTGGCTCCGGACTCCTCTACCCCCAGGGGACGAATGGAATGGGGGGACACACCGCCCCCACGCCCCTTTGCCCTCCAATTGGTATGGAGGCACGAGGTTGGCCATTCCCCTCCCCCATCTGAGGGGCCCTCTCCCGCTCGCCCCCCCTCCACGCTCCCATTGGCTGTAAACTGTTTGAAGGACAAACACTCCCAACCTCAGGTTTTTCTCTGAACCCCAAGAATTTCTCCCTCCGGACCCCCCACCATTGGTTAAGCATTTAAATGACTAGCAACATCCCCGCCCCCCAAGGGCCCCTCTCACCTGGAACCTGGAATCTTCCAGGGGGGAGCCAACGTTCCCCTCGGCCTGGTGCGGGGGGGAAGGGGGGAAAAGGATGTAATCCGGGGTGTCACCGCCCCCCGGGAAACAGAAGCTGTGTTGGGGGAGGGGGCGTAACCCCCTGCCCCTCCCTTCCCGAGCGAGCTGGGGGTGGGGGTGGGGAGATAGTCGGGGCCGCGCCGCCACGTCAGCAACACCCAGATTGGCTGACCTGGGTCACGTGCCAGCCGCCTCCTCTCCCCCCCCCTCCACGAGGACCAGCTTTCCGAAGGTTTCTGGGGGTCGCGCAAGGGGCCAAGGAAGCCGCATGGCCCTGGCCTATCTCCAAAGACCCGGGGCGCTCTAATGCCGCTGCTTCTCCGTTTCCCTGGCTTCCTATCCCGCTGTCGTCGACCCTGTCCCCCCCACTAGCCTCTCCGTACGGGTTCAGCATGGCTGCCGCTGCCCGAAAACGTGCACTGCGCAAGCGCAAAGGTTCGGTCGGCTGGGGGGAGGGGAAAGGAGTGCCGGAGCCCACGGGGAGAACAGCAGAGCGCATGCGTCCGCAGGCACCGCCGCCCACTCGCCAGGCCCGGGAGCGCGCGCAGTGGGTGGGGCGGAAGCGGGCGCGGCACGCAGATCTCTTTCCTTCGCTGAGCCCCTCCCTTAGTAGCCGCCTCTGTGTGGGGCTCCCGGTGCGGGCTGGTTTGCTTATTTTTGCCTAGGTGTGAGGTGCCGGTTCGTTCGTCCTGGACAGAGTCCAGCGGAAACGCGCCCCGCCAAGTTGTCAGTGAAGGAGCGTGGGGCCTGGACCTGGAGATGCTAGGGCTTGCCGGGTTGGGCCCGTTCCGGCCGTAGTGTAGTTCCACCAGGGGAAAGGGAGTTTATCACCTTGTTGGTGCCTCCGGCGGGAAAGGAGGTGCTGACTGTGGATGTGGGCATCTTGTTGGGCATCTTTTGTCTTAGGTAGCTTTACACCCTCTTACTTCTCCGAACCTACCTTGACTTCGTCGCTTCACTGAGGCCTCCCAGCCTCGACTCCTTACCTTACACAAAACTTACCGGCCTTCTGGTCACTTTCACTTTTTTACTGACCTGCTCTACCGTTTCAGTTAAAACGCCTCTACTTTTTCCTAAGATTTTGCCCTCTATTTTCTCGATGTTGAATCAATCCCATAAAAATCTAAGGATATGTTGGTTCTCTTGCTACCTAAAGCAAACCTTTTACTTGTTTATAGCCAGTAATCTCTCCCTTAACCCTCAGTGTATGGATTCAGATCTTAACTCTAGTCCATAACCCCTATTCCCCACCGTTAGAACAGAACAGAAGAGCCAACCTGCAGGGGAGCTGGCGATTTTCCATTTCCCTCCTATGAACTGGGCCTTGTCTGTAATCCTTTAGTATTGTACTAGAAGTCCTCTCTTCGGTTTAAGAAATTCCTTTTCTTTAGACCTGGTCAACCTTATCTATTACTCTAAAGCTATCCTCCATTTCGTTCCAACTGGCATTTTTAACTGCTCTCTTCTACTGGCTTGCCAGCCTCAAAAAAGGAAAAAACAAAAAACACCTTACTAATATCGTGTCAACTTGTAGACTTTTTATTTACCTCTGAGCTACCCTGCACAGTCAAGACCTCAAAATATCGAAATTTTCCTCTCTCAGCCCCATTCCCACTCGTCAGCCCACTTCTTCCATTATTGAAACTGTTCTGGCAGATGTCGCCAAGGACCTCCTAATTGGCAAAGTCAGGATGCACTTTTCAGTTCTCACCTTACTTGACCTCTGAAACATTTGATCTTTGATTACACTTCCTGAAATTCTCTACACCGGTGATTTCTGTGGCCAGTCTCACCTGTTTCTTTTCTTACTTGTCCAACTGCTCCTCTCAACTCTCTTTCGTGGACTCTTTAGCCTCTTCCGGTTGATTGAAGTTTGCAGGATTTTGCCTCCGTTTGCTTCTAGTTCTGCTCATCTTCTCTACCCAGTTTCACTCAATGGCTCCCAACCTCTCAAATGTGTAACTTGGCAGAGAGTTCAGAAGACTCTCCTGAGCTAAACTTGCTACTAAATGTTACAGCTTGGATAACCCTTGGGCACTTCAACAAGTTCAAAATTGATGAAATCTCTGCAAGCTGGATCTGCTTCTGTATTAGCCTGGCTAATTGCAGCTCTTTAGTCACAAAGCCTGGAATCTGGGAGCCGTTCTCAATTTCTTCCTCCCTGCGCCCCCACAGCTTTATATCCACAAGACTTAAACCATTTTGCTTCTTAAGTATATACTGAATCACATTCTGTCATAGTCTTACAATCTGAGCTACATCAACAGCTTCCTAACTGATTTCCCTATCTCTAGAGCTGTCCAATACAGTGGCCACTAGGCTCATGCTGCTATTTAAGTTAATATTAAATTCCTCAGTTCCTCAGTTGAACTAGTCACATTTCAAGTTCTCATTAGCCACATGTGGCTAGTGTCTATCATATTGGATAGCAGGAATGATAGAACATTTCCATTATTGCAGAAAGTTCTATTGAACAGCACTGCTTTAGATTTTCTTCTCTGTCCCTGGCACAACATTGACAAGAGTGCGCTTTCAAAAATACAGCTCTGACCATATGCTACTGTTTAAGCCCTCGATTAATTCCTCATTGCCTGTGTGATCAAGTCCAAATGCCTATGCTTACAGAAAATCCTCTCTGATTCACCAGTTTTGTGTCTAGCCACTTCCCCCTTGGGCCCTATACTCCTGCCATAATGAACTGTTCCCCAGACAGACCATTTTGGTTTATGCCTCTGTATTTTACACATACTGCTCTCTTACATGGAATAAGCTTTTCTCCAATGCATCTAAGCCCCAAATCCATCATCTGAAAAGCCTACTCTTGCCTCTCAAATTGAGCTGACTGCTCATTCCTTGGTGTCCCTTCCTCTTATGATTGCACCTTTCATAGTGAATGGCATTTATGTGATTACATGTTTCTAACCCTTACTAGACTTTGATCTTGAGAGCAGGGTCATATTGTATTCTTTAAAAAAAAAAAAAATCCACTGTTGTTGGCACAGTACCTGGACAATGTGAGGTTCTCACAAAGTGAGCAAATGTTGAAGGAAATTGATTCTTAAATATGTGACTTAGATGAAATTGTAATGTGTATGTTTATCGGTCATCATTCATAATATTGGGAAAATAATCATTGTAAGTCATAATCTTTGCTGTCAAGTACATAATTGAGACATTTGAAGGGTGTGAGGAAAGACAGAAGCAGAACAGCACAGGGCACCTTCTCAGAGAGCAGTGCAGTCCAATCTGGCCATAATAGAATATAAGCTATAAGAGGTGAAGCAGGAGGACAGAAGACTGGAAAATAAATTTATATGAGGGAGTGTTGTAAAAGATTTCCTGTGCCATTACGTTTGGACCAGGTGGGAAGTCACTTGAGAAATGACTTGATCAATCTTATGTCATTAGGTAAGAATCCTATCTTCACACATTCCCAATAGCTAGCACTATATCTGTTAATAAACACCAGATACAAATGTCAGTGGTTGAAAGGAGATGAGACCAGTGATAGCTCACATTTATTGAGTATTTGAAATGTGTTAGGCCCTCTTATAAGTGCTTTACACGTATTTTTTTTTCTTTTTAAGATTTTATTTATTTATTTATTTATTTATTTATTTAGAGTACTTGAGTAGAGAGAGGGAATTTCAAGCAGATGCCTGGCTAAGACTGGAGCCCGATGCGGGACTTGACCTCATGACCCTGAGATCATGACCTGAACCAAAACCAAGAGTCCAAAGCTTAACTAGCTGTGCCACCCATGTGCCCCAGTGCTTTACATATATTAACTCTTTTAACTTGTATAACCTTATAAAGTCGATGCTATTATTATTACCCCCATTTTTCAAATGAAGCAACTGAAGCAACAGATGTTAAATAATTTACTTGTGGTCACACTTTTAGTAACTGATCCAAACTGGGATGTGAACCCAGGCAGTCTGCCCATGCCCAGTCTGTTTTTCTGGTTGCTAGACACAGCAGGTGCTTTAAAATCTAGGACTGAATTTGGAGGAAGAGAAGACTAGGAGAGGTATATTTGGGAGTCATCTTTGAATTGATGTTTGAATCAGTGATGCAGGAGGGTGAGATTTATAAGGGAGGAAATATAAAACAGAATTTAGTTGAGAGTGCAGGATTGAGCTTTGGGTTATATCCTCACAGAGGAAACAGAATAGGAAGTGCAACCACTGAAAGAGCATCAAACAAGAAGGAAAAGCAAAGCAAAAATATAATGAAGGTGCCAGAACAAGAGAGGGCCCCAGTGAGGACTTCATGTTTGTTGAACAAATGACTGACTAATCAGGAGTTTGTTATGCTTGTTTGTGCCATGGACTTCTTTGGTGGTCTGGTCAAGCCTCAAGACTTTGCCTGACAATACTATTTGTAAATGCATAAATGAAATACACAATTATCAGAATGTTTAGAGAAATGTGTGATGATCCAGTAATATGTGCTTCCACATTAATATAATACATGTGGTTATTAGATAACAAAATGATTTATTGGCAACTCTAATAATGCATTAATTATAAAGATATTTTGAGATGTCTATGTGTGATATGAAAATATTAATTGATAATTTCTACTGATGACAACGTTACAGGTACTGCTAGTACTACAAAGATTTAATTTCTATGTTTCCTAAAATTAAATTTCAGTTAGATGTTATTGAAAATAAAGTTGACTTTAAAAAATTTTGTCTAAATTCGTGGACCTCTGAATTTTGTGGTGTATGAACTGCAGGTTAAGAACGTTGTTCTGATTGAATGAGGAAGTGGGATTCTGCAGACAGGTATAAGGGAACAAAGGGGGAAAACTCACAGGTTGGTAACTGTGAGTCATGACTGATCATGGAGAACATTTCTGTAATCTGGGGTAGAATACAGAGTATAGGAAACCTGAAAACCCAGACCAAGTAATCCAGACTGAATACAGTAGAAGGAAGGGAGCTATTTAAGTTTTCAGAGAGGGGAAGTGAGAACTACCTTTATAGGGAAATTTATTTGGCGATAATGTGCACCATGGATTGGCTTTGGGGAGACCGGAAGTAGG